TAAATCTCATATCTGGATTTATCAGTTGGTTCTCTTCTGTCCTGGAGAATATGTAATTGTTATTTCTCTTGGCCAAAAATCTTTAGATTATCCAAAGAGGCTATACATGAAAGTATTAATTATGTTTCACCCTGATCCAGATAAGTACACTAATTACCGCGACCTTTTCTTATAGGTCCAAATCTCTAACAAAATAATCGCCGTTTGCCCCACTTTAGTCTCTGGCAAGTTTCTTTCATCAGCTCCACAGCATCCGAGGCAGAGCAGAGACACCAGCTCTCCCTTTCATGTCGGACATGCTGTTAGTGCTTAGGCCTCCATCTCCTTAAACTATCTTAAGCTGTGTTTGATTCTTAAAAGGCCATTTTACACACAGCAGCAAGAAAAGTGTCCTCAGACTTGCTAAAACTGAGCAAAGACATTGGATCATTAAAAAAAAAATTTTTTTTTCAGCTTTACTGAGAGCAGAATGAACAAGATTAGTCTGAATTTAGCTTCAGAAATAATCCTGACATATACAGCTTCCAGCTCATTTTAATTTGACTACATTTTTCCTTGTTTCAGATAGAAATTATTTGAAGACACACTATGTAAATAGCTACCATTAAGAGGCCACTATAAACCTCCCTCTTCCCTCAATTCTTTCCTGACCCCTTCTCTCAATCCTCTTTTGACTACTTTCTTTTTCCTCCCTCCTCTTTTGACACCACTCCTCTCCACATTCCTTTTTAAACACTTTCTGTCTTTGATGTCCTCTCCTGGGTCTGATCCCATTTCTTTTGGTTTTTCTTTTTCTCCCATTTCCTAATTTCTCCCCCCTTTGTCCTGAGCTGCTGGCCCATGCCACAGCCTACATTCAACAGGTCATTATTGTGTTCCTGCCCTCTGACCTGCCGAGGCACCCAACCCATAAATAGCAGTACATTGTTCTTGGAATGTCTAAGTCTCATGGCTTCTCTGGCCCATTCCTATACTCTCAACTGCTAAGTTCATGTTGCTTTTGTGTCTATGGCTACAGAAGACGTAGAAGAGTTGGTTGTAACATGGATTTCTGGGTGTTGGTGCAGAGTAGGAGTGGGAGATGTGTGGAGAAAGAGCAGAAGCAAAGACAGGAGAGAGGGGAAAGAGGAACGACTGCGAGAGATAATACCTATTCTTTGTGCGTTTCTACAAATAAAAGTCCAGGCTCGTCCCCCAGGTCCCCTTAGGAGATATGCCTCTGTGTGGCCTCCTCATCACCTGTGTGAGGCCAGTATCACCAAGATGTGGTCTTGCTCATCTAGATCTCTCCAGCATCTAGTTAATATCTGTGTTGTGTTTTAGCATTAGCTTAGGAGCCACCAATGAGGAAGAGGAAGTCAATGAGCCAGTAAAGGAGAAATGGGGCTGGCCATCCCATAGGCCCCCAGGCGATTAGTGATGGGCAGGTGTCAGTTTCTGAATGTGATTAAGACTTGCTCTCACCATCTTGTGGTCATTTGTTCTCCAAATATGGAATTGCACTGATCCAAGGCCATTTTTCTACCCAAGATGGATGCACCATTGATTTTATAATTTGTTGCAACCTTCCACTTAGAGTAAATGGTCTGTGATCCATAAAAGAAATTTATGTCCAAGCATTTCACAGAGAATAAATATTAGGAAGAAAATACATCCAGACAACAGAACAGAGGCGTGTAATGGAAGGTCTACACTCCGGCTTGTGTTGTTGACTTCCTTCTAATCATTTTTATCATTTCCCTGTGAACACGTTGCACGTTAAGGCTCTGATTCTACATTTGGCCCGTCAATAAACAAAGTGAATCATTAACCAATATCCAACTTCCAGAAGTTACTGAAGATGGGTTGAGAAATCCCCCTCAAGCTTCCTACTGAGATTTGGATGGGGAAGAAGAAGGAGGGTATCTGTAAGGCTGGCATTGTCTGAGGACACTCCTGGAGATTTAGCTTCTGATGCTTAACTTGATCACCGTGTCCAGTCACACCCAATACCAAATTCATGTCCTTTGCTTGGGAAAAGGACTCCCTCTTCCTTATACTCATTAATTAATTTGCTGGGCTACAGAGCAGGATTGGGTACAGGTGAGAGGGACTTGACAGTTTGAAGGTTGATATGCTCTCAGCCAGTAATGTGAAATCATGTTACATGAAGCAGTCAAACTGAGAAGTTTCTAAATATATGTGAGAAAGGGTGAGTGGAGCCCAGACAACTCCCCCCCCCACCCACACCCCCCAACCTGGAGACTCTGCTAGGAAAATCAGTATTAACTGTCAACTTGGCATAGCCTAGACTCACCTGAGAAGAAGTCTCAATCAAATGATTGCCAATGTAAGATTGGCTCAAGGGAATGAGAAAGTGTCTCTGTAGTTACCTGGTATAGAAGGGCCCAGTCTACTGTGGGCAAATCCATTCCCTAGGCAGGTGATCCTGAACTTTCTAAGAAAGCCAGCTGAACATGAACCTGAGCAGGCCCAAATCAGTGGCCCTCCATGGTTTCTGCTTCAAGTTCTTGCTTGATTGCCTGCCCTAATTTTCCTCAATGATACACTATGACATGGAAGTATAAGCCAAATAAACTCTTTCTTTCCTTAAGTTGCATTTAGTCAGAGTGTTTTATCACAGCAACAGAAAGCAAACTAGAACAAGCATGATAAAAGACAGTGGAGAGAAGTCAGGGGATTGAGGCCCTTGAGAACTCTGCCTGCTGGTCCCCGGAAGTACTTCTATCTCTTTTTTCCCTGAAATGAATTGCCAGTCTTCCAAAGTTGGGATAGTTAACATAAAGAAAGTCTGATTGATCAACAGGGGTTTTGTGGAAGACAGGACTTCATATCCTCTCTCTCTCTCTCTCTCTCTCTCTCTCTCTCTCTCACACACACACACACACACACACACACACACACACACGTACACACAGGTCTCCCTGAATTGGTGGTTTACTTGAAGTGTCTTAGAGTCATTGCCATGGATCCAGCCTCCACTGCTACTTCATAGCTACTCACACTCACAACTAGCAAAGCAAAGCCACACCAAAGTACCTATGAGACACACAGCCAAAGTGCTTTGGAGGGGGCAGCCTGGGTGAGAGAGAGTGCCTGCTGGATTGTGTCAGGATTGGCCCTGCAGAAGATGAGCTATCTCACTGGCAGCCCAGAGAGATGCTAACATATGAGTATCTTCTGCAAACATTTGAAACTATTACCTGCCTAATCTTGGGTCTTTTTCTATTTGGGTAGCCAGAGTCCTGTAGTTTCTGCATGCTTCAAAATAATGCCTAATATGGAGGTTGAACGATGGGTTTCTATAAGGGAGAGGGTTGAATGCACTTTCTACTTCCCTGGTGAGAGAGCCATCTGGTTGACCCCTCTGCTTTCAGCAACAACAACAAAATCATGAAACCACCCACTATCCCATCATGACCAGCAAATTCTACCCCTGCCATCAGTGAAGTTCCTGCTGTACCCCTGCCACCTGCCACCTCCTGTGTCATAGCACTAGATACTTTAGTCTTCTGTTGTTGAGATGCCTTCCTCTACTGGGAGTTCACCTCCTCTCGACTCTGCTGGGTGTAGCACCTGCCATCCTTTTAGCTTAATAAAGCGAACATGTTATACATGTGTATCTGAAACATTTATAACTGTCTGCAGCTTAACAGATGCTGGATTCAGAAGGCTGTAACCTGCCCCATCTTCCCAGCAAAAGTTAAAACCTCAACTTCCCCAGTTGGAACTGAGAGTGATGGAACAGTCTTCCTTTCTTCACACACTTCTGAGTTCACTCATTGTTGAGCATGAGATGCTTTATTATCTAGCATTACGGTGATAAACAGTAAAGCAATAGCTGATCTCTTGCCACCCTCTTAAGTTACAGCCGTGACTTGATAATAATATTGTGGGTATGTCAGGGCCAGGAAAAGCTTATGGCTAATCAACTGTTGTCTGTTATATTTATTTGTAGCCATTTTACACATTCTAATGAACATGCCATTGTAAATGGAGATGTATTTCTGTGTTGTTATCTACTTAGAGACTATCTCTATCCTACTACATCTTGGCTTAGTTTAACATGAGCTGAAATGACAGACACTATAAAATATTATCAGATTAAGGCATGTATAGCTATAGTACAGTCCTGTGTCCTTTGTTTCTGTATAGATTTTTCTATAGGATTAATGATAATTACTATTTAATAGTTATACGCAGTACTTGTTATTAGATAGTAATGATGTCCCACTTGTTACTCAGGGAATCCCAGTGAGGACCATAAATGATATAGCAATCCTAATCTTAAGGAAACTACAAGTTTAGTCTCATTATTCCATAAGCCTGTTGAGTTCCTAGATTTGTTCCTATGTTAACATCCTTTAGTGATACCTCCAGATATCCCTCCCACCCTTGCTATAGCACACATGTTGTTCCATGGAATATGATGAGAGAACAGTATATGTAAGCAAAGCAGAGAAGCAAGACTTGAGGAGTGCTAAAGTGTGCTCATGAGCTGAAGAAGAAATACAAGGCTCACTCTAAGTGGCACACATAGAAGTTGATGCTCACTCAGTATGTGCTTACTAAATATTCATGCAGGGTGGCTACTGGTCAAAGTCAGTAGTATGGTCATAAAAAAATGGGAGAAGACTTGTGGCTGGCAATGTTCATCACACTTGACTGAGACTCCATGGGGTTTTGACAAAGGGAGTCTCAAGGCCACCCTGAGTGACAGCTAGTTCATGAGGGTATTTTATGAGGGATGTGTTCTTCTAAACATGGCACAATGTCAGACTCATTGTAGAGACACAGTATTCCTGACCTCAGGAGGGACAGAGCAGGTTCTGAGAGCACTGTAGGAAGAAGGGCTGGTGAAGAGCTCACTCTTGACAGTCTGAAAGTTGGAAGAGGCTTCTGCCATAGTCCTGTGTCCTGAACAAAATGGCAGCTATTGATTTATTTGGCCAGTCTCCTTGTGGTGCTCACTGGGTTTTCTCTTCCTGTGGTTGTTTCAGGAGCTGGTGGGGAGCAATCCTCCACAGAGAAACTGGAAAGGAATCGCCATTGCACTGCTCGTCATTCTTGTCATCTGCTCTCTGATTGTCACCTCAGTCATCCTGTTGACCCCAGGTATGAATGCTTCTCAGAACCAGTTACTGACATATTAGAATGAGCGGTTTTACTATGGGATAGTTTCTAAGCACCTGTTGACTGCACAGTTTATTCTTACCAGGTTCTGATTTTCATTATACTGTTATAGGAGATGGTCTGTTTTCAATGAAAACAAATCTGTCTTACATACTTTAAATTATTGTATAGTGTTTGACTAGATTGGAATGGCATAGATCAAAATTTACTGACATTTATTCATCTGAAATTAAAGTAATGGCATTAGAAATACTTTAATATATCCCACCGTATTCTCGGGCATTACAGCAATGGTGAATTAAGAAAACGTTCAAGCAACACATGATGGCTATGCACCAAAAGCAAATTACTTATTAGGTAACAGTGACAGAATTAAATACTGATAGGGCCAGAGGCAAAATTCTTTCAGGTAAGAAAGACATACCAGCATCCACAGCAGTGCCTACTTAGTTCCTCTGTGTTGCCTGTGGGTGGCTGAGACAGAAGTGGGGCATGAGATGAGCCACACTGCAGCTTGCAGGCCCCCATAGGCTGACCACAGATGTGTTAGACTTCAAGGTGGAAAAGTAAGCAGATAGCACAGTGCAGCGGAAAGATCGGTACAAAACGCAGGTAAGAGGTTACACCATTAGACAGCAATGAAAGTGAAATAGAACTGATACCTTTATTAACAGGTGGTAGACACTACCCGGGAAAGATAAGAACCACAGACTAGTGTTTCTTGTGAGGAGAGATGCACAAAAAGCTAGTAGTGAACTCAACGCAGTAACACAAAGGTGTTATGGAGGCTGGACAAACAGCTTTGCTGTTAAGAGCACAGATGATCCAAGTTTAGCTCTCAGCACCCACATTAGGTGACAAACAACCACTTGTAACTCCAGCTACCAGAGCTCTGATGCCCTCTTCTAGACTCTGTGGGCATTTACACTTGTGGGTCCACACACACAGGGACACAAACACATATAACTAAATAAATATGTAAATCTATAAGTGATAGACAGACAGGCAGACGGACAGTTAGATAGATAGATAGATAGATAGATAGATAGATAGATAGATAGATAGATAGATAGATGATAGAGTCTTTATGATATATTACATACCATGGAAAAGTGGGATTTATCCTAATTCAGGGATATAGGTTAGCATACAGAAGTCACTGAGATGTATCTGTAGTAACAGAATAACACACGAACCTACAGATCACATAAGCTCCCAAAATGTATCAATGCCATTGACTATGAGCAGAGGTCCAAGTCCACTGTGTGGGAGAGCTGTTCTATGCTGTGTCCCAGTAAACAAACAGGTTACCAAGCTTCAGAATAGATGCCTTTACCAGACAAGCTATGTCATAGGTCCTTGCTGAGTTGGTTGTATCTTTTTTCTAAATTTTATTTTTAATTATAATTTAATTTTATTTTTGTTTTAATTTTATTTTATTTTTAATTATAATTTAATTTTATTTTATTTCTGTGTAGGTTTGGGCTTGTATGTGTAGGTGACTTCAGAGTCCAGAAGAGGTGCTGGGAACCACAGTGCAGATCTCTGGGAGAGTAGCACAGACTCTTAACCACTGATCAAATGTTCCATGCCCTTTGATAGGATCTGTTAGTACACAAAAGGCTTTAATTTTGACAAAAACATAATTCCTCTTTGGTGATTAATATGTTAGGAGTCATAGCTAAAGAAATGTTTTTAGTCTAAGATCACAAAGGTTTATTCATGTTGTCCTAAGAATTTTAACAGTTTTAAATTTTATATTTAAATGCTTTATATAGTTATGTAAAGTAAGAAACTTACTTCATTCCCTGGTGTGTGAGCATGCAGCTATATCAACCGTGTTTGTTGAATATCCCATCCCCATGATGTAGTGATAGCTCCTTTATGACTGTGTGGACTTAGTTCAGAACTCTCTGTTCTAATCCACTGGTCTATGTGTCTCCAGATGTACCCATACCACAGCATATTAACAACTGTAATTTTATGGTCTTTTAAAACTACTAAGTCTATGCTGTCTCAATGCTTGCTCTTAATATTGTTTTGACTCCCCCATGTTGTTATAAGAATTCCAAACAGACTCTGTGGTGGTAAAGTTAGTTACTTTCCTCTTGATGTGATAAAACACCATGTCCGAGGCAACTTATAGAAGAATGTTTATTTTGGCTTATGGTTGCAGAGGGTTGGTGCTCATGATGTCAGGACAGAGGCAGCAGGCACGGTGGGAGAGAAGAATGCTGAGAAACAGATATCTCTAACCACAGCACAAAGCAGAGAGACCAAAGAAGAAGTGACAAGAGTCTTTTAGATCTCAAAGCCCACCCCTACTGACATATCTCTCCAACAAGGCCACACCTCCTAAACCTTCCCAAACAGAGCCACCAAGCAGAGACAATGTGTTCATACATCAGCCTATGCCTCCATTCTCAGTCAGGTCACCATAGTAAACTACAATGTGCTTTGGAAGCTTACTGAAAGCAGGCTCTGGGAGCAAAGGGGTTTCCTCCTGTCTCCTACAGTTTGGTCAAGTCTACTTCCTCAAGAGTTAGAACTCTCAATTAAAAATGATGGATACTTATTAAAAGAAAACATGTTATATGACCTCTTGTTTTCTGAGTGCTGCTTCTGGGTGGATGAGCAGGGACCAGAACAACTGCAGAGGCTTAATTGCAAGAAGAGAACTAGGGCTCCCTCTGGATCCAGGGAGCATGGGTTTGTCTTTTCTTTGCTTTTCCCTTAGCTGTGATTTGAAAAAAAAAATAACTACTACCCTTTACAGTTTTGGTTCTGTGGTCATGTCACACTGGTCATGTCACACTTCCTTGGGACTTAGAATGGGGTGATAATTTTCAGAGATTCTTCTGCCTGAAGTCCATCTCCCCCAGAATCAAAGATCCTTGTGAGCATTATTCAGGAGTGGAATGTGGTGGGTGGAGATGGCTAGTACCAACAGGGCCATGGTACATGGGGAAATGAATATCCCCAGGCTTTAGAAATGGCCCCTGGAACCTTCTTACCAGCTAACCCTGATGGAACTTGAAATCACTTCCATTCCATAAAAACAACCCCATGGCTGCCCTCTCTGCCCCACTAGATAACACTGTTGCTGCAAAGATTCTGTCCAATGATGACACCAGCTCTCAGAGCAGGAGACTGTAGAAGGCAGCTGGTGCCTCGGGTGAGTCTCTGGATTTCAAGGAGGCTTTGAAAGGGGCAGCTTCCTTTACTCTTCCTTTGGAATAAGTATATAGCTGAGTCTTGTCTACCTGTTGCTTCTGGAGACACCCATTGGTGGTATCTCTTTCTACAGGTTGAGCTATTGGGGAACTATGTGTCCTGGGCTTCAGAGGACCACAAAGGCTGAATGCTTACCCAATGAGCTGTGCTATAGTACCCTCTTGGCTTGGTCTTTCTGTGTTTCCTTTCCTGGAGCAAAGTAGAAGCTTTTGTTTTGACAATCAAAATTGTGTCAGGTGTTCTGCCTGTACGGCCCTGGAGTGTCTCCAGATCCCCTCAGATATCTTACCATCTTCCGAAGCACCCAAAGAGCTAATTTTCCTCTACTTCCAACCTTAACAGTCTCATTAGGAGTTGAAACTGTTGTGCTAAGCACTAAGCAAATGTAGAAAATGCAGTTATGTGTGTTCTCCTTTGATCTAAAAGCAAGAAAGGAAGGTGTCCCAAGCATTGCTATCAGTAAGCAAAACTAAACCCAGAGACAATAGTGGGGCTGAGCCCAGGCACAGTAGGGAAGGAGGTTACAGTGCAAAGTCTTCATAAGAGTGGCCATACATTGAGGACATATGCATGCAGTCTTGGGCACAGCCTTATGGCATTGCCCATGCCCCATCCCAACATTGCCTTCATCTTGATAAGGAAAACTTCTAAAGTGAGTGTTTTTAAGCACTCATGAATTCTGACCTTGTGTTCTGGAAACTCAGAGTCTAGAACATTTTCATACCCACACTCAGTTCTGGACTCATTTGCTTTTCGACCATTCCCTATTCTCACAACCCAGCTCCAACTTGGAAAGCAGGATCTGGTAGGAGGATGTGCTCTGGGGCTGTGGTGTTCTGGAAGGTTCTCTCAATGATTCTGACAGACAAGATACCTTGCTCTTTAGTACAGGCTGATAACCTACTATTACTCACTATCCATGTCTCTCTGAGGGGTCTTGAAGGGAACATGGCCTTTCTGGTTGTCATATATTTCTCCCTTGCTAGGCCATGTTCTTTTCTAAATTTCTCTTCTGAATAATAGATTCAAAGTTACCTTTTTGGTTTTTTGCTATTAACTACAGTAACTGTTCACCTATAATAGGTCACACATGCCTAGTGTGTGCCAGCCAGAGCAGCTGCATTGCTGCGTTCCGACGAGACTGATTACAATGAACTGCACCATAAGGGGTCTGTAGACCTGATGGATGTTGTGTTAGAATGTTCCAGACTTTGCCTTGAATGGGATTCTGACCAGAGCTGGGCAGTAAAAAGCACTACATTAAATACTTCAGAGAAGTATAAGGAGAAAGCCACTGACTCTGAGGGTTACGCTGAAGGAAGACTGGCTTCAAGGCCAGGCTGTGCTCAAGTTTTCAGGAGTAAAGAGCAACTAGTATACGGTAGCATAAACGTGATATGCAGATTGCTTATTTTGGAATGTCTCCACAATTTTATTTAAGTGCAGTACCTGTGACCAACTCACTTGGCTAAGAGATTACATTCTGAACTTTACCACTGAGAAAAGATGGACCCACTGGAGATAAGAGGAAGCCCAGGAGGCCACTGGGAATATTACTAGCATGCATATTACTTGGTGATAGCCTAGCTTGGAAAACAAGGAGGGCCTTAGTGAATGTTCAGTTTGGTGTAAGGTCTGATGAAGGGAGCCTGTTGTGACAGGGAGGGAGAGACATGGAGCCCAGGCCTGAGTTTTGAGATTGGATGCTGATTTCTCCCACTGTCTCTACAGAGGTCTACATCACAACC